GATTAAAATTAGAGATTCAAAGTTTAAAATTTTACCAAACCAGTGTTGTCAAATGGGGGGAGTGCTAGGTGTGTGATGGATTGCTCTTGGGCCTTGTAAGACTCTTGAGGACTTCAAGAGCATGGTTTGAGAATTTATGTCAATTGAGAGAGATCGGAACCTCGAGATATGACTTGCACCAACTCTTTGATTTCTGGAGAGCTTTTTGAAGAGCTTTTAGAGAGCTTTTTGAAGAGCTTTTTGAGAGTTTTTTAGAGAGGATTTTCGTCCCTTTCAAGCTTGTATGGATCTATATTTATAGAGGAGAATGAGGAGACAAGAAAGCATGGAAAGAATCTCTCTCATAATGTTGTGTTTTAAGACCATGATCAAGATTTGAAAAAAATGCCATATTTGATGATTTTATGTCATTTTCACATGTGGGTGAACCTGGACATATTTGAAAAGTTATTTCACGAAATCAATTAACATAAACCAGCATAAAACTTTCCCAAAATGGATTCACATCAAAATTTACATTATTTACATTATTTATTTATTTAATTCTGAATTTTAATGAATAAAATATCAAAATAAATAGCATAAATAGTATAAAAATGTATGGGTGGGTTTAGAGGTCGTGGACCATGTTAGGAATGAGTTTCAAACCTGAAAAGATAGGCCCATTTGGAAAAAATCCAAGTTTGGTCAATATTTGCTTCATGCATTTTTTCAAAAATTGTCCAACTTTGAAAATGCATATCTCTCTCAATTTTAACCTTATGAGGGTGTTCTTGGACTTTTTAGAAATCTTAAGATGTCCTCTAATCAACCCTTTTGATCTCATATAAATTTGATATTCCATGCTCATGTATGAAGCTTTGACAAAAAGGGTGTTTTTGTTGACTTTTCAAAATGACCTATAATGTCCAAATTCATAACTTCTTGTGAGTGCATATTTTGAACTTGGGAGATAAAGATGGATTGTAGGTAATTGCATCCTTTTCAAAATGAGCTTTGGATGGGTCATTTCTCATAAAGTATGAGAAAGTTATGCTTGGTCAAAGTTGAGTTGACTTTTCCTACAAAACTCTAATTTAGCAACTTTTAGGTTTTGATGAATTGTGAGCAATCCTTAAGGAATCATGATCAACCCTTGATCAAATGATGAAATATACTTCAAAATGAGGATTTTGACCAAAAATCTTGAAGTTTGATTGTATGCGGACCACAGTTGACTTTTGCCCTAGCACAGTCGATTTTCAGGCCTTTGAGCAATTGACTGAGCAAACTTCATCTGCAAGGCTTGAAACTTGACATGGATGATCTTGAGAACATATTAGGACAATGTTGAGCATTTGGGGTCCCTTGGACTCAAGCATCTTGATGCAACATGAAACCCTAATTTGAGGTAGACTTGCTTAGGAGAGAGCTTGTCTGGCCAAACCTTGGACTACCTTGAGCAACTTGAGGATCTTTCTTGAAATATTTTGAGAAATATGAGAGGGCAAATTTTGGGGTACAACAGATTTGCATCTAGAAGCAATTGGTTTGCACCTATTCGAATTTGAAAAATCAGTAGCATTTTTTACACTTTTTCATGCCTCTCTTCATGGAACCTTTTCATTATGTCTTGACATTTGTTCATGGTATTTTTTCAGATCTTTACCATGATTCATAAAGGTGTTATGCACATATAAATACATGAAATCTCAAATTACAACTCACCTCTTCCAATCAAACTCTTAGAATTTCAAAATTCACATTTCATCAATTTTTATTCAAAAAATTTTCTACATACTTTCACATATCTAAACCAAAAAATTCTCGAGCATTCTAACACTTTAGTGTTTGTGAATTATTGTCATTGAAATGGAAGGTCAATTACATTGATATATCACTTAAGATTATAAAAGTGGTGATTACTCTACATCTTTATTAATTATTTATTATGAGAATCCTTACGAATATAAAATTGCGATCAAAAAGCGCAGCGGAATATAAAATTTTCCTTTAGAGATCCTTACGAATGAGCATGGTCAGTGATAGAAATATTTATCTCTTGTGGCGATTCAGACCTTTGATGTCGTGATCACAAGCGTTGATGAAGAACAACGCCTCTACTCAGTCCACACGAACAGATTGCTTCCGGTCACAGTGCTAGCTGATCACGAACGGAAACCTTGAGTGAGAGAGAGAATCAAAAACGAAATTGCATCAAGTGAAATTGCTTCATCACAAGGGATCTATTTATAGAATCACTCGTGTGGGCTACAAGCTAAAAGCCCAATTAAGGCTATAAGCTAAAAGCCCAATTAAACTTATGGACATCATACCTTATGATGTACCATATATCACTTATCCACGTGGTACCTTACCACTTTCCGTATTACACTTAAGTGCACCGTACCTTACGGTGTTCCTTATTTATTATATCTCTCATCAACCTGTCCTTATGTGTGTGACCCTGTAGGTTTTCGCGACGTTGGCAATTATATTAAATCACACATTTAATATAATAAACAGTGAGCGGTATCTAGCAACACATCACTGTTACCCAAGTCACGAAAATGTCATGTGATCTGACCAAACCTTTTCCGTGATAATATTTGTGTTGTACAATTACCCTTTTGCCCTCATGTCTATATTGAACACAAGGCATACACTGTGTCACTCTTGTCCAGTTCAATATTGGGCCCTTAGACATTTATCCTGTTATGCAGGATGAGCAAATTCCATCTAAGTCACTCATGTCCCTTAGCATGCTTTGTGAAGTACCCATCAATCCGTCTTTATAGTCATCCAGTTACGAATGACGTTTGATCAGCAATAAAGTAATTGACTCTACATATAGGGTCCATAGTGGTTTCAGGTCGAAGGGTGGTATACACCATTATCATCATGAGAATAACTTATGACACTTTGCATAACATTCTATGTAGTATTCTCATAGCAGGTCAATCCAGTATAAATATTACTCCTAATATTCATACCTATGTCAAGACTTGATAACTCCTTATCTATGATCCATGAGATGTGATCATCAATCTATCTTCATAATAATCTTAATGCTTTAATGTTATCCCACTTCACATTAAAGCTTGACTACGGATACTTTAAGAATAGTTTCTTATGTTTAATGGGATCTCATGATTAAGTCACACTTAACATTTCATTAAACCAATAAACCATTCTAGGGACTTTATTATTTTGGAAAGCAAACATAATAAAGAAATGCCTTTTATTATTAATAAATAATTCGATACAAGTACCAAAAGTATTGACCTCTAGGGCTTACACCAACACAATTCACCTCTTCCAATCAAACTCTTAGAATTTCAAAATTCACATTTCATCAATTTTTATTCAAAAAATTTTCTACATACTTTCACATATCTAAACCAGAAAATTCTCGAGCATTCTAACACTTTAGTGTTTGTGAATTATTGTCATTGAAATGGAAGGTCAATTACATTGATATATCACTTAAGATTATAAAAGTGATGATTACTCTACATCTTTATTAATTATTTATTATGAGAAATTCCTAAGTATCAAAGATTGTTTGATATTAGGTGTGTTTCTCTGTTGTCAAGGATGATTGAAAATAAGAGAGTAGAAAAGAAAGAATTGTTATTTTTTCTATTTGGTTGGTTTATATACCTTGCTGTCAAGGATTATTGGGAGCAATAGAGTCGATTTTGAGAGGATTGTTCTCACTTTAACTTGGTTGGGTTTAAGGTGTTGTTGTCTTAGTTATGGGTTAGAGTCTTGTATAGAAAGGCTAAGTGTGCCTTTTCTCGAGATCTAACAATAATTAAATTTCTTTCGTATTGAAAACGGACTAGACGTACGTTCGAATTGTAAAAGGAACTAGGATACATCATTGTATTCTTTATTTTTTATGCACTTTATTAATTTTTAACTCTTACACCAAATTAAAAAAATAAAAATAACTTATATCTAAAAACTATAATTTAAAAATATCTAATTCACTCTCCCCTCTTAGACACTCTCTAAAACTTACTAGAACAACACAAAAAACCATAAGCATAAGCATCAAACGATAATAGTAGAGAAAATCTTGCTATGTTACTGTGGACATCATTTTTACCCGATTACGTTGAAAGTGGAATTGTTTATATGTATACATCCTTATTGTCCTTTAAAATTCACAAGGGTTACATACAGTTACTCCTTATGGCATCTAGATTCTAGTTGATCTTATTGGGAATGGTTTTAACATAGGCTTATATAATACTATACCATGTGGGCTTATTCTAGTAAAAATCCCCAATATCATTATGTATATATTGGGCCAGAGAATTCACAAAATAGAATCGAATAATGTATAAAGCTCAAAAACAATGTAACTTTAAAATCTCTTTTCCACATGCAGCATGCTATCACACATGTTTCTCTTCGATATTTGTAGAATTTTCTTCCACAAATTTACTCTCACCGACGTTCACTGAGTCACCAACAATTTCTTACTACAAACAATTCAGAAACTGTACTATATACATATACATAGAAATTAAAAATTTAGAAGCCTCGATTTTCGGATTCACACCCAACAAATAGTAACAACCGCAATCACCGCTTGCAAGAGGTGACTCAACCCTTCACCATTTCACACAAACTTCATCACTATATTACTATATGATAAATATTCACACACGTAACAAAAAATCCAAATTAAAAAAAAAAAACAAGAAGAATCAATTCATACTTACTGTAATACACTTGCATTGATATTTGAACAATATATAATACATTCTCAAAAACACCTTATTACTACTACTTACGCAACAAAATATAAATAAAAATAAGCTGAAATATAATAAGTTAATAATATATTCAACAAAATTGACGATTTTTTTTTTTTGGAATTTTCTTGCCACCGGAATCAAAATCTGCTGAAGAAAATCAACAGTCAACGACGACTTTATCTTGTGAAAGTGATGATATCATGAAACATGAGAGTAACTACTTTCACTTTCACTGTTTCTTTCACTGTTTCAAAGCGCAGTGAGAGGCTCTAAACCAAACAAGATGTCATCAAGAAAATCATCACCTTCACATAAAGCTGATGCTGATGGTGATAGTGTTGGTGATAGTGAGTGCGTTTTCTCAACTCCCACGTGATCACTGAAACGACACTCGTTAAACAGAACCGGTGTCGTTTCATGAACAAATTGCATAGGAGCATAATCAAATATGTTTGAGTAATAGTAATCAGAGGTTGTTGGAAAATTAAACACGTCCCCCATTTCCTGTCGGAAAATCTCATTAGTTTCTTCGAAAAAACTCGTTTCACATTCACCAACCGGTTCAGTGGGTTCAACCGGTTCAACTGGTTCATCTTCATTAACTGGTTCAACCGGTTTATTTGATTCATGAATCTCATCCGGTCTGAACCGGAGAACAGAAGTTGGAGAATATAGATTAACAAACTCATCGCCGGAATCCTCGCCGGAAACGGAGATTTCCGTTTTGATTTCGTCAACCTTCATTGTCGTCGTTCTCTTCACATCTTCATCTTCTTCCACATTCTCAATAGTGGAAAAGTTGGTGACAGCGTCTTTACCACGAAACTTAATAGCTGCAGCATCGTAAACCTTAGCAGCTTCTTCTGCGGTGGTGAAAGTCCCGAGCCACAACCGAACACGGCTCGCAGGATCTCGAATCTCGGCAGCCCATTTTCCCCACGGCCTCATCCGTACACCGCGGTATTTTCTCTCGTCTCCAGTGATTGCTTGTACCTTCGCCGGTCTCCGGGAAGATTTCATTTCTCTGGCTGACCTTTTCTTGTTTCGGGAAACCGTCGAAGCAACGGTTTTGATTTCGATTATGTTGACATACTGTTTGATTCTGATTCTCCGGCGAGGGACTGAAAACTGTGATACTGATACTGATTCATCACCGGATGAATCAGTATCAGTAGCATCTGGATCAGTAGTTATAACACGAATCACTTTCGGTAATTCGGTTTGAATAGAATTTTTGTTGTTGTGGTTGTTTTTTCTTGCATTCATGTTTCTCTTTGGTTTTATGTATTTCTTAGTAACACTTTCGTGTACTGTGGTTTTACATAGGATATTCATACTATGCTGTTGTTGTTTCATTGTGAAGTGTGTTTTGGGAAAAGAAATGGGTAGAGAGATTTTATTTATGTGAAGGAATAAATGAGAAACTTGTTGGTGAAGATTGAAGAGTGAGTGAGTGAGTGAGAGAGGATTTTGGAATGAAAAAATCTAGTACTAAAAAGACATTAAAAGGGGTGAAAATGAAAAGGGAAGGTAGTAAATAAGCAATAAATAGTATTAAAATGTGAGGAGATGGAATTGGTAGAAAGAGATAGGAGAATAAAGTGTTACGGAAAGTGCTTTTAACATCGTGCGTGGGGTGTTGTTGGTGGCTATGGCTATGGCAATCACTCTGGTTATGGTAAGGTAATTTGCACAAAAGCTAAAAAAACACACAACTAAAGCTTAAAGCTTAATTTCAAACGGTGATGACACTTGAAACTTCACTTGATTTTTTTTTCATAAAAGGAAGAACATCTCCAAGATTCTATGGTGTTAAAAGTAGTTGAGCGTGAATGAGTGTTTATATAACGTAATGGGTGTTAACTTGCTGCGAAGACCGAAACACCGAAATCGCTTTTTTATAGGATCAATCAACCGAAAATTTTTATTTATCGTTAAATAAATTATAATTTGGAAAATAAATTATAATTATCGGTAATGAAGCATTGCATTGCAAGAAACAAACCAATAAGCGAAGCGCCGCATAATTAATTACCTAATTAGACAAGTTGTTTTAATTGCTTTTACTAATTCAAAATTAACAAAATCTAACGGTCGTGAGTGAATGTGTGTGTTAAATCTCGAATTTCGAGGTGAGTCACGTGAGCATGATACTCGGGTTATTAGCATTAATCAGTCAATTAGTTTGACTAATTAAAAGTATCTTTTGGTTTATATTGTTGATTTCTTTGCCTGTGAGGGTAATATAGTAATTTCGGTGATGTTAAAAGGCTGAAAATGGAAACGTTTCGTTTTGTGCTTGCTGCTTCTGTGGGTCAATAAATTTGTTATCAGTCGGTGTAAAAAAAATTTAATTTTTTTTTATCCTATTTTTCTGTTAGAATAAGTTAAAATAAATATATTTTAACTTTTACTGAATAAGCAGAATTAAAAAGTGCTTTTTTATTTAAGTTATTTTTTTACAGCAGTGATAGAAAGTAACGTGGCGGGCAACCTAGAATACGCCGCCATTTACAAATGGGTTATTACGGTCTGGGTTTGTTTCTGTTTTGCTATTGCTATAATCGAGGTATAACCTACGCGCGACAAACGCTCGTGTAAAACACAGCTATGCCATACTAGTACTTAGTCAAAATTATCAGTTATCACATGCCATGCTATTTTTATTTGTTTTATTTTGGCAAAAGACATGCCGTACTAAGGAGTAGGACATAAAATATTAAGTCCAACTTGATTTAGTTTTAAATTGCTAAACTTTTTAATTTCAAATTCAATTTATTTGAAACTTAAGTTTTGTTAAAACAATTAATTGAAACTTACATATAAATTCTTTTTGCTCAAACTGAAATAGAAAGAACTATTTTTAGCTCATTATTAAATTATTTTAAATTTATTTAACAATTTACATAAATGATATGGCAAAATAAAATTTATTTGATAATAACTGAAGACTTTAATCTAGTGATGAAAAGAGCGATCACCTAGAGATTTATTCACTCATTTAAAATATGTGGACGATATCTTAATTATAGGTGAAAAAAATTGGTCTACTATCGGGATAATCAAAGAAATTTTTTTATTGTTCGAAAGTAATGTGATCTAGAAAGACTTTTTAAACCATCAAGTTTGTTTTAGACAAAAAACAACATTTTAATATTTTTCGCAACCTTCATGCATGTATTTCAACACCATCATCTCTTATCTCATCTTAAGATCCATGGATCCTTGTTCGAGTTCGTAAGCCCTACTTCTTGCGTATACTTCATTGTTTTCATTCATAACTTCCTTTTTGATGCATTCATTCCTTTTGGTTGCACCTACTCAAACAATTCATCTTATGCATTTTTCTGGAGTTATGACCTAAGAGACACAAAGCTACCTCTCATACCAGTTATTTCTTTTTTCTTATATAGTGTATGAGTGTACCGACTCAAATTTATATCATTTTTGTTGCATCTCAATACATTTTTATTTGTTTGATGATTGTTTTTTCTCTTTCTTGAGCACTTTTAACTTTATCTCCATGGAAATCCTAACTTCGCTTTATGTCTCAAATATCGCTGCTAAAATTTTAACAGGTGGGATCCGTAAATGTTTTAAGCAGTTTAGTTTGGTTAAAGAAGTGTTTATTCCTTTGAAGTTGTCAAACTTTGGGGAAAGATTTGGATGTGTTAGATTTGCAGAGGTTAATAACCTATCAAAACTCATTCTTTCGCTAGCTGATGTTAGGATGGGTTCCTTTAAACTCATAGTAAACATTGCAAAGTTTGCTAGAAACTCTATTTGGGAGAAATTTCATGCTCGTAAAGGTAATATTTTCCAAGATGGCCGTTTCCCTAGAATGGTTGTTAAATGTGGCTCCTTCAATGGAGTTTCTTTCAAGGATGTAGTTGCTGGGAGAACTGATGTAGGTGTTGGCTCAAAACTTTTGAAATCCCATAAACTTAAAACTTCCTCGACGTCTTTCTCTGGTAGCTATAAATGGCTTGATTTGGATGAGTATGATGGGAAGTTTGACGCTTTTTCAAATTGCTTTGTTGGGGTTTTAAAACCTCATGTTTTAATATCATCCTTTTGAGGCCATCTTCTCATACTCGACTTCCCTTCCATCGAGATTTCTTCTACGGGAAGAAGTGATGTTCAGTAATCAAAAGTAAGTATTTGTGTTTATCGTCTTTACAGGGACTTATGTGATATCAATGTCGCTCAACAGTTACTATGATTTTAAGTAGAAGTTTGAGAGATGTTTGATTTTCTAAGTTTACATAGTGTAAAATAGATAATTGACAAATAAAGTTTCAGAGAGATGGGAACTTGTTGGGATTGTATTTCATCCACCGATTAAATATGTAGTTTACTAATCAGTTATATAATACTTATATATTCATAAATATCATCATGTATCGCTCACAAACAGAGATTATGTCTAAACTTCTGCCGAGAGTTCAATCTTATTGTTTGATCGACGATTTCTCAGCCTATTAAATAATAAGGTATAATGAATAATTGATACTTGCGATGAATGTTAAGCTCAAATCTATGTCTAGCCTTTAGAATCTAACAGATGGTTATCTTAGATTAAGATTCGAACATTATTTCTCAATATCAATTCCAATCTATAAAGTTAAACAATAAAACAAATATACCATCGATATTAATTCATAAATAGATTGTATATAACACCATGATCAATAAACATACATATTGTTACAGTGAACTACATCCAATCCCAATAAGAAATGGATTCAGCTACTCATGGTAGCTTGGTACAAATGATAAAAGTGAAGATGAATATGCATCAATTGTGATTTCCCAACAATTAATGCATATCCAACTTATGTTCTTCGAGATTTACCATTTCCTATTGTTGTTGTGTTTCTCAATCTCCAAATATCTCTTTGTGCCAAAGTTTTTCCAAAAAGCTCTTTTTGGTTCTGATCGATGCTCTTTTATAGTGTTTATGTCTTGCTAATCTCGTCTGGCGAGCAATTTTTATTCATCATGAAGTTGCTGTCAGCTCACCATCTCAAAATGCCTTGTCTCGCCTAGCGAGCTTCCTTCCTGCAACCTCCCTGGGCGAGAATGAAGAATTTTAATTCTGTAAAGTTTATGTTTTTCCTCGCCTGGTCTTCGCTGATGGCTCGTTAGGTGAGATGTCACCTTGGTCTCGCTTGAGGCTTGTTGGGCGAGGTTTATAGGTTCTTTTCTCTTGCTTTGTTGTCCACTTCTTTGCTTATGCACTAGTCCTACAAGAAAATTCATATAATTCAAGAGAAAACATGTACAAATCCAATTCTATTCAACACATGGGGTTTCTATTACAAACCAAGTTAAATAAATGCATTTTTCAATGTGACTTATTACCATATTTTAGACACTTATCAAACTCTCCACAAATTGAAACTTTGTTTTTCCTCAAATCAAAACCTTAAAATCTTAATCGAAAGCAAGAGTTTTAATACCAAGTTTTACATGATCAAACAATTTCAAGAAAAACAGCCAAGGCGCCTAGTTCAATTTCAAATTGCTCATCCACGTTGTTATGCTCATTACTTTGCTAGGTGTCATACCCCAAATTTTCCTCCTAGTAATTAATTTATTGGCACTATTATATTTTTACTAACGCGTTTTATTTAGAAACAATGGGGGGTTCGAAATCTAAGTCAGGGGTGTAGTTGTTAAAAAAGTCGTTTATGCTGAAAGTTTGGATTCTAGGGCCCATTAAGCTTTGGTAGAGGCCCATTGGGTGGAGAGTTGACCAAAGTCAACTCCTAGCTTTTTGTTACTCTCATGCAGTCTTGTTACATTTTAAATTTCACTAAAGTCAATATATGACTTCTTTTTGGTACAATTATTTTGCTTTTATATTATTATCAACCTTATTACAAACATTCTAATATTAAAATTATTATTAATTACATTATTATTAAGTATTTATTATAATGGTTTTTTGATTATGTAATTATTATTATTATAATTATTAATTTTATTATTTTTTAAAAATTATTTTGGTGCATTGTTGACTGAGTCAACCAAATAGGGAAGAAACCCTAATTTCATTCGCAAACAACATTGTTCTTACTCAACCCTAAGACGGCTAAATCCCATAAAAATGAAAATCCAGAAATCAAACTGTGATACGGTGGGAGAACTGACTTGAGGTTTTGCGTTTGTGTTTGCAAATGTTTCAGTTTAGCAAGAGTCGCCACCGACTTTTTATTTTATCCTAAGGAAAGGTTAAAAAGCACAGGAAAAACCTTTGAGATGTTTTCTTGGGTTCGGGGAGTAGATTATAGAAAGGGAAGGTATTAACACCCTTTCTATCCATGGTTATCCATGGGCTCTTAGTTACTTGC